GGCAGGGGGGTTGGACTAGATGACCCACAGAGGTCCCTTCCAACCCCTACCATTCTGTGATTCTGTGCTGGCTCCCGACTGTACTGGTGGGTGAGGTGCTTGGGCAGGGTTTCTCTCAGCTTAAACACCGGTTGAGCTCTTGTTTTGCTGCTCTGTGTTTCGGTCTTAGTGGATGCCGTGGTTACAAGTTGGGAGTGTAGCGCTTTTGGCGTGATGCGCGGCAGGAGAGGTTTAGACCCACCAGGCTTAGTAGTAGGTGTCTGATTAAAGCTATGATTTAGGGATGAACCACAGTTGAAGTGCAGAGTGTTTGGGTGCTATTCAGACCTTTTGGGGTCCTAGATATTTTGCTTAGCAAACAAACAACTGACTAAGGAAAACCCCTTGGTTTTAGACCCCCGAAGTTTCCTGCGTTGCTCCACAGCAGTCACTCCGCAGGCGTGGTTTTTGGAAAAGGGAGATTTGTTGCGTTATTTCTCAAACCTTCTTTCTGCAGTGTGCCCTGCGTGAAGGACCGTGCGCATTGTCTGCTCCATGTTTTCCTTTGGCACCAAGGGCTGTTGCTGATGGGATGTGAAAATTAATCTGGCAGCGGAAGAAGGGCCCTTTGAAACGTTTCCCTGAGCGTCTGCGGAAGACAAAGCCTCTTTCCAGCAGCCTGAGGATTTTATTTACTCTTCGCAGTTGCTCGCTCTGGATTTTCAGCGCTCTGCCCATGTTCGTAACCAAGCACTGGAGCCTGATGGCTCTGCTGGGGCGGTGGTTTGCCGCTGGAGAGCGGGCGCAGGGAAGGGAAGGACGGGGGCTGGCGGCCTTTGCCCCTGGCGGGCCAGGGCTGGGCAGTGTGCTGGGGCCGAACACACGCCGTTTTGTGCGAGGTACGGCGCGTGGGTTGCGCTCTCGATATTTTCTTTTGTTCTAGCTTAGTGAAGCAGATCTCATTAGCCGTAAATGTCAGCTGTCTGGTTCCTGTTTTTTTTTTTTTTTTTAATTGGTGTAAACGGGAGTGAAGTTTGGCTGTGGAGTATTGGCTTGCTTAAATTTTGGGTGATTTGTGTTCTTTTACCGCTTTCTGGGGCTTTGACACGCGGGATGCGGAGGCTGTTTGGTTTCCTCCCTGCTGCTGCTGTTCCTCTGGTACATTTGCAAGTGCTGAACACTCGGATTCAAGTCCCCGGGATTGCCAAAAATCTCCAGGGACTAAACATCAGCCTTATCGAAAGGCAGAAAGGAAATGAAAGCATCGATGGGAGTGCCGGAGGGGATGTTTGCCACAGGCAGTGTTGCTGCTGTGTCTTCCCATATCACCTGGGGCTTTTTTAAAAGCTGGTCGTCGCTGTAACTTTTGCAGCCCGCTGTTGTGCTGGTGAATGAGGCTGCAGTGTCATTTTTCTCACCTGGCTGAAACAACATCCAGCATTTTAAACAGAGAGTTGAGTGGGCAGGCGCTTTATTTAAGAATAGGTATTGTAAATGCAGGGTTAAAACCACTACTTAGAAATAAATGCTCTTCCTTTCTCTTGGGAAAGCAACTTCTGTCTGTGCAAAAGCCCCAGAGAAAGTCCCTGCCATTCGCTGGGGGATGCTCATTTAGAGCAAGTCAAGGCCAGCTAATTTTTCCTGCGGACGCAGTGTGAATTGCCAAACTGGGAGCTGTTGTGAAGGATACAGGATGTAAACAGTATGTACGTTTGTGGGCTACCTACGTAAAAGTTGCATTTCCACCCCTGGTCACAGGAAGGGAGAGCACAGTCCCCGAGAAGAGACACGGGTGGGATGATTGCTAAGGTAGCACATCTGCTTGGCATAAACTATTGCTGCAGTTGGTTTGGCCATATTAAAGGTTTAAAAGATTTTTGTTAAATGCTTAAAAGAATAGAAGATAAGAAAAGTATAATTCCTGCTTGTAAGGAATGAAGATTTTAATTGTGTGCTTGGGTGGACTTTTTTCCCCCCATAATAGTTTTCTATGCTTCAAAATCTGTATAAAAGTTGGAATTCACATGTGTGTCTACTATGTGATACGTCAGGCTGAGCTTTGTATTTGCTGGCTGATGCTTTTCCCCTGCATTCCCCCTGGATGCAGCGGGAAGCCTTCCCTCCTCCCTGCGGCACGTACCCTCTGCGTCCCCCAGTTTGCAGAACTGTTAATTTAGGATTGCTCGAGGGAGTTTTATTGCAGGAGTATTTTGTAGCACCCTTCTTGGGGGTGTGATACAATTTTCATGTCTGATATCCTGGAGCCTCCCGGAGCAGGCGGCTTGGTGCACTTCTGGAGGAGAGCAGAGGAGTGGGGAGGCGCTCCCCGTTTCCCCGC